GGGATCGATTTTGCTCAGCACTGGAAAAAAAAGACAGAGAAATGTTGACGAAATGGATTTTAAATTGTCAGTAGAAAAAGTGATTCTGCAAACCACTGCTTTCAGTTGCACTCGTCAGAAATCGACGCATAATTCTCAAAAACACCGAACTTTATGGTTAACAACGACGGCAAGTTGAAAAGTTTTACCGTAAGCTGGAATCTGCTTCAATTGTTAAATATACGTGTGCGGTTATTGTCGAGAATTTAGCACAAAAAATAGAGAAGGAAGCAAAATAAATGTCAATATGAATGTATAAAATTGGCAAGAGGAACGACAGAGATGATAAGTTATGACAGAAATGAAGATTTTGTTTGCTGATAATACCTGATTTTCGAAAACTGCACGACAAGGATGGATTTGATTTGCACCGAAGGCAAAACTGAAGATATCAGGGTAAATGCGTAATTGATTTTGAAAGATGTCTCCGTATTCAAAATGGATATAAGCTATTCCTTAATTCATCTCAGTTCGTATTCTACTCAAGAAGATAGTAGAGCATGGTGATCCTATATCGCCTAAGCTTTTCATGGCTTGTATCATAAATGTTGCGCAGACTGAATTTGAAAGATGGTCTGATCACCTGTGGCATGCAACTAAAGTCACTTAGATTTCGAGGATATTCCTCATGAGAGCTGTGCTCAGGGGATAAATCTAAAGCTGCTGTAGTTTGGCGCACGAGATAAACACAATGAATCTGGAAATTAACAAGCCGAAACGATGATGCAAAGTATCGGAATGCTCGACGAGTAGACGGTGTTGGCTTTGAAAACCGGGCTGTTATGCCTATCTTGGCTTGAAAATAACTATACACTACATTGTTCAGGTGGAGTTTGCATATGTAGGTAGAGCCGATTGGCGCAAATTTCACAGCATCGCCGATGTTCTCAAACTGGCGAATGAGGAGCGTCTCTGCGCTTATATACGAATGCAGATGGTCACTCGGTGACCGTAACAAGAAGGTTAAATTTGGTGGTTGGTGCCAGCTTTGCTGACAGCTGACTAGCATCATTGCTTATCAGTGAGTGGTACTCGTTTAGAAAATAAATGACCACTCGAGTGGCTTTCGATACTGAAGATTTGTGGCGCAGGATTGAGGGAAATGAGTTAGCTGGGCTGAGCATCCCCCAGTGGTACGCTGTTGACATCGAAATTTCTTCATTGATGGTTCGGGGTTTTTGGTAATTTTTGAGACACACATTTAATTCAGAGTAAAAAGCATACTCATGAGACATGTTAGCACATTTTTTGTTTGATCTTAACAATTATATGGTACAAAAAAAAAATCATATATCACAAATACCGGTCCAAATTTGCCCATTTTACGATCTCTCATTCGTTTGCCTCATACATCGCTTTCCCCGCATAGTCCACGATTTTCCATTGAACTTTAATGGCTTGTTATTTGCGATGGAATAAGGATTCAGGATACTTGGTGGATTCGCGGCATTGGTGCAGTGATTGATCTCAGAAGGTGCGTTGAAGTAAGGGCGCCGAACTGAGATTTTCTTGTGAATATTCGTATCCGCGTTTTTGCGCAAAATTTTACCGCATTTTGCAGATTCTTTTTTTTTTTTTCTTTCCAGAATGGTTTGCAATGATGGATGAGGGTGACGATTATGTGCCTCAGATATCGCAGCTCGACTACTCGCTTATGGCTGGTGGGCCGGCTGCGCTGCAGGCCGATGCGGCAGGCATTTACGGTCAGCCATCACCGCAGATGCCCCTACAACACATCCAGTATGGTGGCGAACCGGCACCCATACATCCGTGCCAAATGCCGAATCCGTTGGCGCCGCAAATGATGCATCAACCGCAGCAGGTAACAAAAATGACTGTTCCAAATATTTTAAATAATTGGCAGTCAGGAGGAACAAAGGGGGAGGGAACTGGCGCTTGGTAGGTTTAGAATTCCAAACCTTAGTTCCAGGCAAGTAGATGAGTGCAGAATTTAGTAAGAAAATTGCCAATATTACGTAAGATGAAAAATGTTAGAATAGAGAGCAATTTAAGTATCGTGTGCAATAAGGCGTTTTAAGATGCAGTCTGCATTTTATCCCTTAGCTGTAAACACAGACCGAACGCGCAGCATACAGTTAGGAGTGGGAATCATCAGTACAGCCTCCTACCAACCATGTGTGTGATAAGCATGTATGAAACTGCTTAAGAATAATGAAAAGAGCGGAGAAGACGAGAAAGAGATATGAAGGTGGAGAAAAGCGGGGGGGGGGGGGGGGGGGGGGGGGGGGGGGGGGG